CACCACTTACGAAGTTTACAAAATGTACATAGGGTAAAAACAAATGTTAGGAATAGACCAGGACCAGGTATTGGCAYCAACACACAACTACTGAAGCAGTAACATCTCTGCCCACCTCCTTTATCCAAGCTGGTGCAATTTGTTCTTTATGTGTCTTCCTCTGGCTTTTTTAAATAACTGCGGTCACCCTGCCACCGCTTATAAAGTTTACAAAATTTACATAGAGGAAAAGATGAAAAGATCAACACAGTGCCATGAGAGCATCCTAAGGTATCGCCAGCTGAAAGAATGCATCAGAAAACTGAACAAGGCGTCCTTACAACACCCCTCTAGCTAAATGCCTGCATACATGGGGACTTAGGCCATACATGGTGAAGTAGGCTTTATGGAGTGACGTAAGCCATTTAAATTGCTATATCATATGTAGCAAAGTAATAAGTATGACTGACTTTATCACGTACCTTGTCAAGGGTGCAACKCCGCTTCCCCTCCAAACATGTTCTTCATGAAGAACAACTGCTGCTCTCCTATCCTTCGCCTGTGTTGTTTGTACCGTTTGTCATTTGGTTCCTATTGTTTTTTTGTTCCAATTGTTTTAAGAAGACATCCAGAAATTTGTATTGTTTGTGATCATCACATCTCTGGTACCAACAACAATGGTAATATTTCATACTAACTGATGCTAATAATAAAATAAACTTGTTAAGAATTAAATGACTTATTCTACAGTTTTTTTCTATTAATTTGGTGCTACTTAACAAATCTAAACAAACTTTATTAGGTTTGATGAAGAAATTTGTTTCTCTTGTCTGTTTTGTTGTTGCCTCTGGTTAACACTTCCTGTCTGCTGGCTAATATTACAGAGCCACGTTTATTCATTCTCCTTCCCAGAACAAGTGTGTGTTAAATTGCTCTCTCAGGAAAAATTAAAAGTCAGCAGGATGACAGAGCAAAGCACCGCACAACAGGCCTGTGTCATTTTCTTCTCATGAGCGTACAACACACACAACACACTCATTCCTATAGGTTTGTTATCACACGTTTATTTCACASCTGTCACACAAACTGTTAATTATTCATGCCTAATAACTATCTCRGCGGGCCTGAATTTGCACCTGACATTTTATTTGGTAATCCCAGGGGCTGTGATTTGTTTTGTGGATTAAAAATTCAGAAGGTAAGGCTGGGCGACATGAACCTATTTGGTCAGAATTATATCTGATAGGCCTTTTAAATTGTAAACCATATCATTTTTCACCTGCCGGGGGAGCTTTTAGAGGCAAATTTTTATTGCTTTTTCCCATATTGTTTTTTTTTCTTTTTGTAGCATGGTTTTCTTTTTGCAGTAGCGTGAAGGATGAAGTCAGTGGGGGGAGTTTTATATATC